ATCCTAAAATAGTTATCACAGGAAATAATCACACTAATATCGACCACACGACAGCCATATACTGTAATCTTGTTGAACTAAGAGAAAATATTCAGGTCTTGCTGTGCTTGCCCAGGGGAAATCGATCAAGACTCTGGTCGTCTGCCGTCAACTTTAACTCACAATCAGAGACTTGGTGCAGCGCTGAGGTGCCGACAGACTTCGTAATGTCGACAACCTCCCACAGAAGACGAAACCAGCAACTCCGAACCTACAAACCAAGTGCATGGAAATCTCTCTCTCTCTCTCTCTCTCAGGGGAGGAGGAGCTAGGTGACTCTCTCCAGCAAAATCATTTTCAGCACCTGCCAGACTCCTCTCGACAAATGTGGAATATGTCTGCTGGAGAGTGAGAGAATATACTGTACCTAGGAAAGAAAGTATAGGCGATGACCACAGCATAACACACACACACACACACACTACCTCGATGACACTCCTTCGCCATCAGCTCCAGTGAGAGTATTAGATAGGTGCTGTTAGTGATGAAGGCCACACACGTCAACCGTAGCTAACGACCCTTTAACTATGACTCTTGTATACCACCATCACCATTACCTTAACTTACCTCACATCCTGCTGATGCTTGGAGGACTATTCCCAAACTCTCGGATGCCTATTGTCAAATTTCCGGAAGCTATTGTTAAGTTCGTGGAAGCTATTGTTAAGTTTATGGAACCACTGTCAAATTTACGGAACTTATTGTCAAATTAGTGAATTCTGACTGATAATCGTACATAGTCTTATTACCCAGAATCACACGTTGAGTACAGGTAAGCCAAAGGTCAAGGCATTGTTCCTAATAAGTGTACAGCAGTTTTTTTTTGTGCTAAACATATTTTTATTTGTTTTATAAATGGTCAGTTTTCTGTTGATTCACCATTTTTCTCTCATGACATCAATTTTCTCTTTTTATGGTAAGATTAACTTTCTTATAGACCCTTTTCCGTATTAAATCTTTCAACTTAATAATTATCTACTCTTCTCAGTCAGTCGTAAAATGTTACCAATGAGTAGTACTACATCCTTAACTACATCGGTTTACTTACAAAGATCAAAAAAATACCCCTCCCCCCAAAAAAAAAAACTTTAGTGTACCAAGAGACAAAATTCATAGAAAATTATTGGTCTTAGAAAATGTTATTATAGGGGTAACTCTACTAAATATGCAATATGATATATTCTTGGTTGCACATTATATTTTCTTATAATCTCTTCTCTTATTCTTATTTTATTTCCATTATAGATATATCAGAGATTCCAATGTTCAATCATGTCTGTATACCTAATGACGAGCACGAGACCATACAACATATTCCTCCCTCCACCATATCATCATCTTTCCCCAATCACTTTCTGTCTTTATTTTCCATTTGATCTTCACATCAATCACTTACAGTTTTATCGCAATTTTATAATCAACATATAATTTTTAAAAGCGTTATCATCGTCTCTGCCTCTCCAGATAGGAACATTTATGCTGCTCTTACTGTCTAGACGTTTATAAGACTATAATTCCTCTCATCGTGTGTATAATGGTCGCCTCGCAGCCATAATATAATAATAAACATTTCTTACTAGACCATATCAGTCCTATGCATATTCACATATATTTTCTGCAGCTGTAAACATGCACCATCATACTCTCCTCATCTTCTTTCCTTTACATATATAAAGATAGTATGTCGATCTTTCAGTGATTTTTACATTCTGGGGTGATCAGTCTCTTCAAACACATCACATATAGAACCACACCTACTCTCTCTCTCTCTCTCTCTCTCTCTCTCTCTCTCTCTGGATGTATTTGACTCTCAAGCGTGACTGGAAAGTATATACTGAACTCTTTTCCTTCATTCTTTCTCCTCCAACTTGGTCATGAGTTAGGTGTGTCTGTCTGTCTGCTGCGTTGGTCTGATGTAACAAGAATATAATACAGTACCTCATCACCTTTCGTTCCTGTTCAGAAAATATTAGCTGAGTGTAACAGAGCAAAGAGGCATTTAGTTTTATGTTTCAGTTCTCTGCTTTTTCACTTTTATTTCCATCTCCTATAAATATCAGTAACGTATACACCTGCTCACAAAGGCATCACCATAACACTAACAGGTAATCTTCACGTTAACATAAAGCAGGACAATATCAATCCACCATTCTGCACCACCTCGCTGATTTCCTACCATTAATTTCTGGATATAATCGTAAACTTCCCCTCCGGTCCACTCCATCCTCTTTGCATTTGGCTGCCCCCCCTCATCAACCAGGCCAGCCCTTCACACCGCTAAGTGACCCATCAAACAGTGATTGCCTTTTCATGACTAAACTCCTGCCATGAATGTCACTAAATCCTCTACTACGGTTGAGTAGCTCTAACTTGTTATTACTCTCTCGTTTAGTCCACATCTCACACTCAGGATCGTCTCTTTCACTCTGCACAAACTTCCTGTTTTCTCACATTGGTATTTGATCACGAAATCCCAGGTGAGTATTGGCTTTGCTCTGTGTGTGGGGGGGGGGGTGAGATTGTGAACTTACATTCATAACTAGTAATGCATAATCCATCTATATTTATTGTGATTCATGTGACCCCCGTTTAACTAGCTAACCTAACCTAACCTTATCTACTCAAGGCATAATTTTGCTATGCCATTATAGAAAATGAAGACTCAAATAAAACAGAGGAAATGTTACCGTATAAGAATATATGTCCATTAACTTATAGCAATTAAAAAAAAAAAAACTCCATATTTGACAAAAACTTCTGTTGCTTTTTAAGGTTTAATCGACGATCTTACTTGCAGTACGACAGGGGAGAGACAAGGCTCGGGCTGAAGAGTAAAGTAAACACACCTTGCCAGGTCCTTACTCTAAAACTCGCACAAGTATCAAATAAAGCAGCAGGAACGAGGTGCTTCACCCAAAAATTATCAGCGAGTGTTCCTGGCAGTAACGTTTTGTTGCAGTGTAACACTGTCATTATACTTGAATGTCGGACGGCAGCCAGAGCAAATATTACGCTCTTGCAGCTGGTGGTGGTGGTGGTGGTGACTGTGATGAAGGTGGTGATGGTGGAGATGGTGGTGTTGGAGATAGTGGGGATAGTTTTGGTGTTGGCGATGATAGTGTTAGTAGTTGTTGTGGTGATAGTTATTGTGGTGGTAGTGATCGCGTTTGTGATGGCGGGGTGGTGGTGGTGGAGATGGTGGGGGTAGTTTTGGTGTTGGCGGTGATAGTGGTTGTGGTAGTGTTAGTAGTGGCTGTGGTAATAGTTAGTGTGGTGGTGAGGGGGGGGGTGTTGATGGTGATTGTAGTGGTGGCGATGGTGAATGTGATGATGGTGGTGATTGTTGTAATGGTGGTACTCGTGATAGTGGTGGAGGCGGCAGTGTGGTGAGGAAGGGAGGGAGGGAGGGAGGGCGGGACTATCCCAGGTGAGCACTCAGCTGCAGGTGAGCTGACAATCACTGTGATGGGATTAAGACATTGAGTTCAGAAAATTACTATCGATCTTCACTCTTGTCAGTGACAGAAGTGGTTAGAATTGTCAGTACACACACACACACACACAAAATGCGTGGATATGTCCTTATTTTAATTCTTTTCGTGTGTGTGTGTGTGTGTGTGTGTGTGTGTGTGTGTGTTTGTGATTGTGATTGTGTGTCTTCATCTAGTTTTTTGTTAATATGTTCATACTGTACAATTATCCTCCCCTCCTGGCAATGAGCGCGTCGTGTGATTACTGTAAGTTACGCAGGTCATAAAATCAAACGCAACATTGAGGGGAGTGACATTGCAGTTATAACGTGAATTTAACACATACTTTACCATGAAGACGCTCTGTCATCTTTGGTAAAAACTCGTGTAAATTTTTTCATATTTCTTGGCATTTTTTTTTTTTTTTTATCTTGAATGCAGATTTTGATTACTTGGCTGGCTGGGGGGAGATGGGAGGAGGTGGGAAGGGAGGGGAGGGGAGGAGAGGAGAGGGGAGGGATGGGAAGGAACGAAGGAGGAGACAGAAACGAAGGAGAGGAATATTCAGACCTTTTAATTATTACGACCTGCTATGTGATCTGTTACTTCTCTTGTTCTTTCTTCATTCTTCCTTCGTATTCCCTTGTCTCTCCTTTCTTCTTTTTTCACCCATATTTCTCTATTCTTCCGTTTTTTTTTTTACCTTTTTCTCCCTCCTTCACATTTATCTTTGACGCCTTCCTTAGCCCTTATTTCTCCTTCATTCCTTCTTCCTTCTCTCACATTCCTTTCCCTCCTCATCTCTTTAATTTTCCTTCCTTTCTTCTTCATTAACTCTCTCTCCCTCCCAGCACACCTTCCTACCCCCCCACTTCCTTCCTTCCTTCCTCCTCCCTCTCCCTGTTTCCTTTCTCTTTCTCCTCTCTTGTCTTCTCCTTGCACTCTTTTCCTTTCTCATTTCCTCCTGTCTTCCTCACTGGTCTGGTCAATGAGGCACTGCTTCTGTTCCTCCTCTACTATCGAATTACTCCTCTTGTGAACGCGAATCTACTACTACTACTAATACTACTACTAATACTAATACTAATAATAATAAATTCACTTTATATCAATATCCAATAGGACTAATCCAGAACAGAAAATGTCAGGTAGAAGATCCAGAATTTCCAAATGCACGTGTTTGCTCTTAGTTGTAAATACTGTAGATACGACAAATCATTAAAATAAAACAAACTTTATAATCTTACATGACATCTAAGACATCTAACCCCTATAATTATTTGTCAGCACCAACAAATTATTTACGAGTCCTTCATGTACCTCAAAATGTAATTACTAAGGTATATCTTATCTGACACAGTTACCGCCTAGTGTCAACAATGAGATAGGATTTGGGTATGGAGCACGACCTGGTCTCCATGACAACAAGGACGCGGTTTCCATGACAACGGGGACGCGGTTTCCATAACACTGTGGACATTGTTTATATATTACCTGGAGGTGTGTGGTGGTAGACACTGTTTATGTGTGTTAAGTGATTATTTAATGAGAACTAGACATCACACGTAAGCAGGTAAGTTAAGCTATGATAGGATAGTCCTAGTAGAGCCGCTGGGAGGTGGGTGTCACTCTGTGTGTTGTGGATTATTATCGCTCTTACTGTGTGTGTGTGTGATTTTCTTCCATAAAGCACACACAATCACATAATTACTGTTGTATTTTTATGCATAATCACACACACACTCACACACACACACATACATCTACAAATTATATATATACAGATTTCTCCTGCCCTCAATACTCTTTCTTCGTGAACCAAGACAATGTGTATATATGTAAATAGCAACGAGGGTGAATGTTAAACAGCGGGTCCAGTGAGTTGACTCAGACCTTCCCGTACGTCCACCAGCTGAAGTAATTACTTAATGCGACTTATCATTATACTTTACATTTTCCAATTAATATTTTACACTTACACCTATCTTTTTACACTTATATTTTTAATTATTTTTCTACATTGTACACTTACCCCAAATACCGCGATGTAATGGCCCTTGTTTCATAAACAGAAGACTTATATGAATGGATTAATTACATTTGATTTATATTCAGATTCATCCCCTGTAACTTTCCACTGGCTATGAGGTGACATGTTCAATGCACGTGATAAGGTGTGCCCATGGGATAAAGTAGCCGGCTCCTGGCCACCTGAAGCAAGCAGTAGTTTGATATCCTTGACTAGAGGAAGACGTTATTTGAGAGCCGCAGTGGATGGCTCCGTCTTCCCTCGACGGAGGACGACGTACCTATTCCGTTCTCCCTCGATGGGTCACTACTCAGAGTCTTACTCACAAACTTATATCGAACGGACGTTGATTCACGGCCTATATACATAGCCGCCGTCTTTTCTCTTCACTCTCATAAATAGTGGAAGTTACGGTTGATCTACACTCGGGAATTATATAAACAATCCTTTTTAATAAATGAAGAAACTTCAATTGGGTTTCGTTACTAAAGCCCAATATAATATAAATGTACCGACCTGGTTAACTTGGAATTAACCAGCCCGTTCAGCGATGTTCCTCTCTAAATGTCGGGTTCATTTACATTTTACTACATATTTACACTATTAAATTTATTCATTTTAATTTACAACACAACCATTTATTTCCGAGTTTCTTACACTATTTTAAGGCCATCATATCCTTAGTTCAATTACATCTTTCTGTTCGTATGTTTCATGTATTGTATGTAATTACCTTATTGTATAATGTATGATACTGTTGCCATTATACCACTGATCCATTCACGGTGTAATTATAGAGACTCACACAATGGTAATGGCAACTTAATTAGACTGTATTTGTCATAATATCAGGGATCCTTATCATATTAGAGTTGCCATATAGCACTGTGCCTCCCTGAACATACTGTAGTTCCATAATAACTGTATCTCATACTATACATCTGTAGTTGCCATAATTATATACCCGTGTTTAAACTCACGTAGTTGCCATGATAACTGTCCACCCCCCTTCACATTCCCTGTAGTTGCCATAATAACTATACCTCCTGCAAATTCGCGTAGTTGCCATAATTGCACACTCACGTCGTTAACATTGTAGATTCAAGTAGTTGCCATAATAACTATGTATCCCACTCTACTGTAGGTGCCATAATAACCCTGCCTCCCCACCCCCCACCCCCACCCCCACAGAATGGCAGGTGAGGGGCGACGTGCCAGCCTCACATCGTCCCTGGTGACTGACGTGACAGGCTTCCCGTCTATGACAGAAGAGGAGATCTCAGGTGAGCCAGTTGTTTATTATGTCAGGTGAGGTTGTTTACTGTGTCAGGTGAGGTTGTTTACTGTGTCAGGTGAGGTTGTTTGCTGTCAGGTGAGGTGTTTATTATATCAGGTTTGTTATGTCAGGTGAGTTGTTTACTGTGTCAGGTGAGGTTGTTTACTGTGTCAGGTGACTGTGTCAGGTGGTGTCAGGTGTTGTTTACTGTCAGGTGAACAGGTTGTTTACTGTATCAGGTGAGGTTGTTTACTGTGTCAGGTGAGGTTGTTTACTGTGTCAGGTGAGGTTGTTTACTGTGTCAGGTGAGGTTGTTTACTGTGTCAGGTGAGGTTGTTTGCTGTGTCAGGTGAGGTTGTTTACTGTATCAGGTGAGGTTGTTTACTGTGTCAGGTGAGGTTGTTTACTGTGTCAGGTGAGGTTGTTTGCTGTGTCAGGTGAGGTTGTTTACTGTGTCAGGTGAGGTTTACTGTGTCAGGTGAGGTTGTTTACTGTGTCAGGTGAGGTTGTTTACTGTGTCAGGTGAGGTTGTTTACTGTGTCAGGTGAGGTTGTTTACTGTGTCAGGTGAGGTTGTTTGCTGTGTCAGGTGAGGTTGTTTGCTGTGTCAGGTGAGGTTGTTTACTGGGTCTCATTTCCTTTTTCTGTACATTTCAAGTATTTCTCTTGAAACTTTTGATAACCTTAGTACTTCTTCATTTGTTTTCCTTTCAGTGTAGCTCATTCTTAACATTCGTCTATAACACCATATTTAAAAAACTTCTTTCTGGTGTCTGCCAAAAGTGTTCACTCTTCTGACCCATTCATCAGTCCTGACCATATACTGTATAGTCTTTCAGCAGCTTTTTCCTCAATTTGAAGTTAATGTCCCCTTTCATTGGGTCTTTTAGATTATTGAACGCTGGTTTTGCTTGACCTATTCTTGTTTTTATTTCTTCCGTCCTTCTACCATCACAGTTAATGGTTACTTCCAAAATACGCAAAATTATCCACTTTTTTTAAGTTCCCTGTTGCCAACCATAATTTTTAATTTAGGATTTATTTTCAATTTGGAAACGACTATTACTTTAGTCTTTACATCATTAACTCTTAAGCCATATTTTCATCTTTCTCCACTAATCTGTTAACGATTTTTTGTATAGTCTACACAATCTGTGATAAGAACAGTATCATCTGTATAGTGTATATTTTATATTACTTTACCATTAATTTGTAGTCCTTCATTATTAATTATAACTTCTCTTATCAAGAATTAAAAATATTATACAATGCTGGAGATAGAACACAGCCTTGTCTTACTCCCTGCCTCACTGTGAACCAATTAGTAAGTTCATTATTTACTAACACTGCTGCCTCCTGAAGTGTTTTGCTTCCTCAGGGTTGAACGTGGAACAGCTGGAGAACGCCGCGGAGGAGCTTCATGCGCTTTGTTCACTCATGCAGGCAGAGCTCGACCTATACAGCCGCTTCCTCAGTAGTCAGGTGGTGCAGGAGGACGCTGCCCCTTCCACACAAACACACTTCACTCCAGGTGGGAAACGGTGCTGTGCTTGCTGTCTGTGTCTGCTGTGTCACCTGCTGTGTCTGCTGTTTGGATCTGCTTTGTCTGCTGCCTGTGTCTGCTTTGTCATCTGCTGTGTCATTTGTTGTGTCTGCTACCTGTGTCTGCTGTCTGTATCTGCTGTGTCTGCTGCCTATGTCTGCTGTGTCATCTATTGTGTCTGCTGCCTGTGTCTGCTGTTGTGTCATTTGCTGTGTCTGCTGCCTGTGTCTGCTGTCTGTGTCTGCTGCCTGTGTCTGCTGCCTGTGTCTGCTGTCTGTGTCTGCTGTGTCTGTATCTGCTGTGTCATCTGCTGTGTCATTTGCTGTGTCTGCTGCCTGTGTCTGCTCTCTGTGTTGCTTTTCCCACTGTTTTTATCTTTTATATCTACTACTGCTAAAAGATACGTGGGTTCCTTCTTGTTTTGTTCTACTTCCGTTCTTCAGCGCCCTGTTGCTGCTTCTACCGCTGTTACTTTTGTTTTTTTTTTGTTATTACATTTCCTACTTGTTCTGTCTTCTGCTGTTATGATTCTAGTTTCTGCTTACTATTTCTACGAGTATTATCCCAGTTCCTGCTTCGTCCTTCTGCTGCTGTTATTCTAGTTCCTGCTGGCTGTTTTTACTTGCTGTTCCCAATGCTGTACTTCGTTTACTGCTGCCGCTTCCCACAACACAACGTAAACATTTCGGACTTGGTTATCTAATGTAATTTTTGTGAATCTAAATATTTGGTAACTAACAGTGTAACTAAGAGTGTGTCACCTCAGGGTCAGGGACAGCAACGCCCACCATCTCGTCCCTGGATGTTCGTGGACTGTGGCACGGGCAGGTGGTGACCAGGGGCCGCCGAGAACCATCTAACAGGTGGATAATAATAATAATAATAATAATGATAATAATGATAATGATAATGATAATAACTAGGAATAACAATATATACAAAACATTATATAACCCCATGAGTACACTATAAGAAAAGATATATAGAACTGAATTTATTGTGTTTAATAATGTACTCGTGTAAGACTGTCAGAGTGTCAGAAGTGCCGCTTATGGCAACGGGAGCTGGAGATTGTGTTAGCAACCAGGAGGAAGCAAGAGAAACTGTGGCAGCAGGAACTACACAAGTATCAGGTGAAGATAGTTGTTATCTCTCTCTCTCTCTCTCTCTCTCTCTCTCTCTCTCTCTCTCTCTCTCTTAATACAATATAGAACATCGATAAAAGTCAACATGTTTATTGTCTTCTCAGGATTGACGAGTGTAGTACGCCTCTGAGTGATGGCAGGGATAAACAGAAATATTCCTTAATATACAAACTGTAACTCACAATGTGGTAATACCTCTAACATAAACCATATATACGGATGGAAAATTATATTATAAGCTATTTCAATACTGACTAAATCCTAACACACTATTTGTTTAATCAACAGGGCAAAAAATAAATTAATAATGTACTAACTCAGCTTTGGATCATGTAAATTGATAAGATGTATAAAAATATTTCCCATAAATACCTGTGTTATAACCAATATATACCAGGGTCGTATTGTAAAGCATTTGAGATATTGTTAAGGTCGCTTACACCACAAGCACTAGCACAAACATTTTCAGGGAGGTTACAATGTTATCTGAGAAATTCAATGTAGGTGGAGTGTAAATTCTCAGGAAGACTCGTGTTGTCCCGCCAAATCTTTATTATTTCTAGAAAGTCTAAATTTGTATCAGAATTTGCAAGTAGCTGTACTCTGAAGCAACACCCACACTGCCATTACTATAATTCTCTTATATTGAAGCTTTTGTTTAAATTGTTCCCATCTTCGTAAAACATGTCTCTTCCTTCCGTTATTTATCCATTCGTTATTATACAGTATATTCATTTACAATGTTAAATCTCTCATACTCAGTTGTTTACCTCAGTCAGAGTACTGTAGGACTAAACCTCTTATAATCCACCCTATGCCCGTATATCACACCACTCTACACAAACTATACAAACCAATTCACTCTTAATATATTTTACACCACTCCTGACTTTACGCCCTTCACTTCTCCCGAGCAGACCTCTCATGACCTATAACATTGTTCCATTCAAATTAAAACGATAAGATGCCTTTCACTCGTCATTACTTCATTTACTCTTTCCTGTCCATCCTTATCACACCTCACTCATCTTTTGTTCATATCTTTTTCATCACATTACCACATAGGATGGAGTTACTCGCTCGTCTCCCACCCACCCCAACACTACAACAGGACGGTGAGGTCGTATGAATTAAATCTTTGATAACTGATCACAATTTGTTAATTAGTAGGTAAATAGAGAACTAACAGGTGTGTGGATGTCCTTCTTTAGGTAGAAGTTGAGGGTAGGTGAGGGAGGAAGAGGAGTAGGAGAAGAGAGAGGAAGGGCAAGAGGAAAAGAGAAAGGAGGGGAAGAGGAGTGCGAGGACAAGGGGGAAGGGAAGAAGAGGGGCAGGGAGAGAGGGGTAAGAGGGGTTGAGAGAGGGAGTGAGAGGAAAGGAGTTGCTATACTAGTCACGCCAATCATCAACACGCCCACCTCGCTAACTACATGTAAAAGGTGTACTAAGTTACATTTTACATTGCTGAACCACGACGCACACGTATAGACATACACATAGATGTACACATATACACACGCACGCGTACACACACACACACACACACACACACACACACACACACACACACAGATCTGTACCAATATTTACGTATACAAACATGATACACAAACACAATCACACAAATGAATATACAACGTAGATACACGTGCATAGTGTGTGTGTGTGTGTGTGTGTGTGTGTGTGTGTGTGTGTGTGTGTGTGTGTGTGTGTGTGTTACAGTGTGTGTGTGTGTGTGTGTGTGTGTGTGTGTGTGTGTGTGTGTGTGTGTGTGTGTGTGTGTTACAGGTATCTTGCAGTGTTTCGTGTTGTTGTTGTCTCAGGTGGCGGTGCTGGAGGCGGAGGCGAGGAAGGGGGAGCTGGAGAGGGCCCAACAGGAGCTGTTTAGACTGGCCAGCGGGTACGACCATGACTCACACACCACACCTAGGACCAGACTCACCTTCACCCAGCTGCTCAGGTCAGTAGGGCAAGAGGGCAAGACCGAGGGAGGGGGAAGGCAGGGAAGGAGGGCAAGGTCGAAGGAGGGGAGGAAGGCAGGGAATAAGTGATGGTAGAAGGCATTACGGGTAGGAGGGGAAGGCGAGAGGGCAATATGGAGGATAGGAGGGAGCCAGAGGAGTGAGGAGGGGAAGGCAGGAGCCAGTGGAGTGAGGAGGAGAGGGCAGGAGCCAGTGGAGTGAGGAGGGGAGGGCAGGATTTTATTTTAACTATATTTTGTTTCTGTACATCGGACACCGTAACATGTTCACTTGAGGAATATAATTAAAAGTAAAACCAAAAACTATAAATAAGATTCATTGGTGTGTTGTTGTGGCTATACTAGCACTATTAAACCATTGTCTTACACACACTAGAGGAGATCAGCCTCTTGATAAACACAAAAACTCCATCTTCTGGAAATGAAACATCAGCTTTCAGGGAGGAGGGGCAGAGGGGGGGGGAGGGGTGGAGGGAGGCGGGGCGAGTGTTAGTTCTACGAAGAATAAAATATATTATTGGTCATCAGCCATACTGCACTTAATTACTTCTTTACCTTAAATATATTTTGATTTATTACCGTCATATACGTGTGTGTGCAGCCACGTTTCTCACCTCACTGACACACTTGTGCAGGTTCATGGAGGATCAGGTGCGGGGTGACCTGAAGCAGACGTCGCAGGTGTGGGTGGAGGTGGCGTTACTGAGGGCTCACTTGGCCAAACTTAAGTCACGCTTAGAGCAAGGTCACGAGGGTCCTGACGCTGACCCCGACACTCAACCCACCTCCCAGGTCAGTGATAGTGATGGTGAGATACTGGAATAGGACTTGTTGGTGTTGAGGAATGTCATAAACTGAGAGTGACCCGCCATGTGGTCAGGTCACCGCTGTTGTGTCCATGGTCTTGGTTGTGTCTTCCTCGTCATGGTTGTGTCGTCACTTAGTAAATTATATTAAAAAGTGGTGATAATTAACACAGCCTCAATAATTACCATAAACTGTACAATTATGGAGAGTGTCACGATCATATTAATGTTTGTTATTAAGATATTGTAATAATTATAGCCATTATCATATAATATAACATACTCTTCTATTGACTACAAAGATTCTGAGTAAACTTTAAAGTGTCACTACAATAATGATCTACTGTACAGGGGAGCCGAGCCCTGTAGCACACTGAAGCAGGTAGGACTCACGGTTACCTACCAACACTCACGAGGATTTAAGAAATATTAATACAAAAACTCAATGACTTAATTATGTTACTTGGGTGAGTTGTGAAGTCCGCGCTAGGTGACCATAAGACTCACGTGATGGGAGGCCTTATCCTCGATCTGATATCAACCACCGAAATATTACACGAGGTTAGAAAATAGGATTACAGTAACAATGACATTATTCCAAATTTTCAATTTTCTGGTCCCAGATCCTGAATGAACGAGTTAATGCTGATGACAACAACAATTTGATTGCCAAACATCAGCAGAAGAGTGTTACATCTCCTTCATGCTCGCCGTAAGACCACAAGCTGAGCAGCTGTCAAGTGAGAAAAGTGTTCGGGGGAGAGAAGTCATCCTTATTCCTAACTGGTCATGAAAGTGCGCCCAATAAGCCTGGCGGCCAGTTAGGGGCAGTACAGATAACGAACACTTAATGCTAAACCTTTAGAACGCAAGGAGGCAGCGTGGCTGGGACTGTACTCGACTGACTTGTCTTCCTATTTGTACAATCAGGGACCCATTTATGAAATCGGGTTGCCACGGGAACGAACCTGTGACCATTACGACAGGAATCGAGGGCTGTATCCACTAGGCCACTGCGCCTTTAACTATTCATAATATATGGAAATTTGTAAATGGTGAATCAAAAAATCAATGACATGACCTGTTAGGCTGATCTTTAACCCCTCTAATATCAACATTGAAACAGATGTTTAACATGTGTCATCTCACCTGTCTGGCCTCCTGCAGGTAAACTTCCTGAAGAAGCAGCTGGAACACGAGGACGTCAAGACCCGTGTCGACCACAACAGCCGCACCCTCACCCACCTCCTGCGCCAACTGGGTGAGAGAGAGATACAGAGAGTCTAGTCGCAGGAACACATAGGTTGGGTTAGGTTGGGTTAGGTTAGGGTAACGTTTGGTTAGTTTACATAAATATTAGGGTTTTTAATCATCAGGCGAATTATTTGGGGGTTAGTATTCGTCATGAGACCCCGACAATCTTTCCTCCTGTACAGAGAAAGAGAGGCGACGAGCGAACCGCCTTGCGGAAGAGAACCAGGCGAAGACGACGATGGTGGGGGAGCTGAAGGACCAGGAGGCCCTGCTGCAGGAAGAGGTGCGTCGCCTGTCTCAATCCTCCACCAGGATAGACGCTCATGTTCGCTTGCATGACCTACGCACCGACAAGAGATTGGCAGCCGTCCGTGCTACCCAGGACCCGGTGAGGACTGGAGAGAGAGAGAGAGAGAGTAGAAAACAACTATTAAGGACCGTGAGAGACACAACACTATTAGTAGAATTAACCTTAATATTTACATATATGTTTCTGCCTCTTGTTGACTATACCACCCACCTCCCGCCGTAGGTAATGACGGTGGAGGAGTACCTGTGCCTTAACGCTGACGTCCACAAGCTGCAGAAGGAAGTGGCTAGCTGGAGGAATAAGGCTGACGCCCTACACTAATACTAAAGACCCCCAGACGCCCCTCGGTATCATCACCAGCAGTCATCCTGGGTCCTCGGCTGCTTGGTACAAGGTCTGGGTAGATGGACACATTTATCTAACTTAATCTTCAGTGTTTCATTCGTCAAATTACAAAACAAATACGAATTAAATTTGTTGTTTTACTTAACGCTTGAAGGTCCTCGAACACAAAGTACCATGAGCGTCCCTAGAAAAGTAGTTTATGACTCTGAGTCATGACCAATAACTATTGAGACAAAACCATGTTAGTTAGTCTTTATATATGACGAGTTAAGAGAAGTGTGGCGGCGACAAATAATGGTGGATCACGTATTAGTAACGCTGACATGTAAAATTTTACTCTTGTAAATATTCCGTTTATGAATTTATGGCCCTCGAGTGTCACCTTCCTCACTCCTGGACCACAGCTCTGTCTTAACTTGAGGAAGACATGTGTGAAGCTGTATGTTGGTAGAGGAGCGTCGGTAGAGTGGATATAGTGCTTGGCCCCTGTCCAAAGGGTCACTGGTTCGTACCCAGGCACCCCACTGTGAATGGGTACCTAACTTTACAGTTCGGGAAGTGAAGGAGGTCAAATGCAATGTTGGCAACGTTGCTTTTTTGTGTACTTTAGGTGTTGGGTGTTATCGCCCCTGGTTTATTATGCTGGTGTCAGTTGCTGACGATCGTTGCCTTGCCCGAACAAACATTGGATCTCTCAGCCTGCTGTTGCCTCGTCAGAAATTGGCGGCGGGGGGGGAGCGGTGTTTCCGGACAAGAGATCCTGAATCTACTGAATGCATAGTTTAGGGTGGCGTGGCTCTCATGGCGCAGATCGCCCTCCCGAGTGATGCCCCCTCCCCCCCACGCGACCTGTGACCTCGCCAGACTCTGTCACCGCCGGGAGTGTTATCACCGCTGGCGTCAGTACTGACAAGTGAGTACTGGAGTGTGAGTGCTGGCGTCTGCTGCCTTACCCGAACAAAGATTGGGGGGTGGGCGGTGTTTACGGACAAGAGGTCCTGATTCCGCTGAATGTATGGTTTAAAGGGTGGCGTGGCCGCCTGGAATCCAGGAGATCGCTCTCTCGAGTGATGCTGTAAGGAGAAGCCCTCTGCTCGCACTGGTAAACACCGACTCAACCCTGTCCAAGAATTTGTGCTGAGACAATTTACGCAGTACTGTTGTCTCTTGGAACACCATACTGATCTTCATTGACCCGCACTTGTAAGTACAGCATAAGGGATGACATACCCCTCATACTGAAATATTGTTAACTAATTACGTCTACTCGTTTCTGCCTAACCTGGAGTAATAAGACAATGCAGAATGAAGCGAAGGTAATATTAATAGAGTTATGAACTTTGTGTTATGTCAGTATGTTTAATAAATTGTAATTAAGATAAAATTGTGAGACTAACTAATTATGTATCAGATGAATCACCTTGAAATATAATGAACATTTCCTCTGCAGGTTTTGACCACATCAATAAATATTGAATGCATTAGTAAGTTCTTTTTTGTTATATTTTTTTACTAAACGTGTTATTTTATGTGGATAAAAATATTACAATGGAATTAAAACTATAAAAAATCATCTGGTCATGCATGAAAACATACATACCGACACCAAGATCACTCAGATTGACCAACTACTTTAATTTCTATAAGAAAAACCAACTTTTGAAGGTCAATATGGCGGCCTTATTGAAAAATGGCCACCATCTTGGATTTTTAAATGGCCAATCAGGCAGACTTGACTAGTAACCATTAGAGAATTACCATGCCAAATTTGGTGCTTGTATCACCATTTGCATGATTCTCTTGAAAATTTGCATTTAGCTGCCCCACTATAGTGATAAAACCTTCGAGAGTCTAGTTCCTATTAAGTTCAGCAAAAATAATAAGTTTTAGTTTCCATATCCTTGTCATGAGAAGGTGAAACCACTCTATAATATCTTACTGTTATTTGCTTAATTGAATAGCATTAGATCGTTTTTATTCTTGAAGCTCTCTTTGATATAATGGACACAGTATGTTTCAAAACCTTTTAGGTCTAATTCTTGTCTAAGAAAAAATAATGTTAAAATTGAAATTAACATGACAGTATTGTTTTGATAATTTACATTTACTGAAAGTAATGTTTTAGGTATATCTGAGTGAGCAGTGTACCGGACATTTATTTCTATCAGAGCACTAAATTACTGTCCTCTTATACGTATTTGTGTTAATAATATTCCAACACTTCAGAGTTCTTTAGGTCAGGTACATTACTGTATTTATGGCTTCCATATTAATCTTATGAAAAGCTGGACCAATCTATTAAAGATTTAGATTTGTTTTCTTCTGTTAAATGGCCGCACCATTATACATCATAAGGTATAATGTCTACCTCTTTCACCGCCCAGAAAATATGATTTAATTGTACCAAGTTGACAAACAGTACAGAAAATTTAGTTTTTGTAGTTCGTTTGTTTATTTATGCCCATTCCTTCTGAAGTAATCATGATTGTAATCATGATTATACATCATGTACTCGTAATTGATTACATCCATTTTTACTGTAATCGTAATTGTAATCATAAAATTATCATGTAATGGTAATCGTAATCAATTATATTACCGATGTAATCTCCCCATGTCTGCCTATAGCAAACCTATCCACCAGTCACGATCGTCATTACTCGATCAATACCCATTCATTCATAAGTAGTGATACTGTGACGGTGCCGTTTGGAGACACGGGTTACCACAGGGGCTGCAGCAACACATTTCCCCAACTGTACTTCATTGAAGCAGGATGTCATCGCCCTGCTTGTTTGTTTATTTTGCATTGGTTCATCACGGTACAGTGTGGCAGAGTAATTGGTAATGTCCCGAGTCCTAGTGTGGAGCAGCTAGTGGGTTACTCCACCACCCTGGCAGGACGCTCGTCTACCTTTATATTTGGGTGTAAATAACAGACATCACGATGAAAATAAACTTCTTTATTTCGAATTCACTCAAAATTATAATCAGCCCTGCTAGGAATACCTCTCTACAGGATCTTTATTATCATCAGTTAAAACCTATAAAATATAAGTAAAATCTATCAAAAAATTGCTCTGGGACGACACGAGTCACGAACACTTTCATCTATGCTAAAACAATCTACAATAATCTATATCACCATCACAAAAATTAAAAAAGAAATTAAAATTTCATATAATCAAAATAATTGGTAACAAAATATATTAAAAAATAAGAGAAATCACAAATAATAAAACTTTTAAGACTTTCTATAAAACTGGGCAAAGGAAAATACCTCAAGATCTTCCTTCTTACTTCCACTACAACATTAACAACTTGTAAGCAGGAAGTTTCACAGCACTGCCCTAAATAACTCTCCATTCAGTTATACAAACAAAATCTCTTCCTTAATAGTTACAATCATCTATTGTGGCATTTATTTGTTAATATATCTACAAAAATATACTTGTCTATGAATGTGAGGAAGCTATTGACAACTGGAGAAGCAATAGTAAATACTTATTACAGGGATGAAACCCTTATTATTAGGTACTTAAACCATATTTTCAGGTATACAGCATTTATTCAGGTATATAAACCTTAATTACAGGTGTATACCCGTTATTTATGTATATAAACCTCGTTATCAAGGAATGTATCCGTTATTTTGAGAAGAATAACTTCTGTTTTAGGTATATATCCTTATTCTTAGGTACAGGTATCTCCCTCCCTCTTTAAACAGCTCGCTTGGAGCAACAGTACACAGGGTTGGCCTAAACCTGGGTTATATCTCTGCTCATTGTTGACGTCTGGACGAAGATATTGAAGAGAATTCTGTGATAATGACATTAAAATGAGACGACATATAACCCACCACTAACTGTGTTCCATTATCTTAACACATCTCTCACTTCATATTAATTACATCTCAAATTATTATTATTCGACTATCAAAAGATTCTGAATTAGGAAGAAGTTTGTACTGGCACTATCTAGCAATAAGCGAATATATATATATATATATATATATATATTATATATATATATATATATATATATATATATATATATATATATATATATATATATATATATATATATATATATATATACTTCTTACAATTCGCTTGTTAAAGGTAGTTTAATGGAATATCAAAGCAATGCTAAAAATAACACTTGTCCACGTTGAGGGGTGAGTGTTGTACACCTGTGATCATGGTTTCTCGAGTCAACCAGGACAGGCTATGGGAAACTTGTGTATAAAACCTATACATTGACGAAATAAATGGTTTCAACAAGAGGCATTTTTATGACCAACTACTTAAGTTTTCTCATGCCTAAAATGCCCAGTTTGCAAAAAAATATATATAAATCCATAAAACTGATTTATGTACCTTTTGAGGGGAGTAGAATATGTTACTATGTTACATACATAACACAGATGGTATATGGATGGAGGAGAAGGCACGCCATTTGTTAAAGGCAGAGCAATACTCTAAAACACAACCATGACAACAATCACAGGACAGCGATCAATAATTACAGTAAAACTCGTCGCTCACAAGGACCTACACAAAGAAGTTTGAAATCGTAGAAATAAAATATATATTTACATAAAACGGATGAACTTCTATTGCCCATAAAATTGTCATGTGTAATTATAAAATAATATATACTGTATATAAACGGATTAATTTCTAACTAACAGCGTCTCTCCTCACGAGACATCTGACGCTGGATTGTCGATGCCTCTCAAGTCTTTCAAATTCTTGGAGTTCTTTGTGTGTGGCGAGCTTGGTGGGGGTCTGTAGGTGTCGATGGCGGGGGAGGAGGGCGTGGGAACATTGGGGCTCTCCTGCGGCGCCACGTACAACCACCACGCCACGAAGAATAGCACCGTGGACAAGGACTTGAAGATTATGGAGATGCCCATCATGTACCTGTCGGAACGAGGCCCAATTATTACACAGGTAGAGTTTATGTCCCTCGTCACTTGTCTCTCTATCATAAGTTCATGGATTAACAGGTGAGAGGGATGAGGAAGAAGAGGAGGAGAGGAAGAGTTGGACGAGGAAGAGAAGGAAGAGGAGGTGAACAATGATGATGACGAGAGACAGGAGGAGAGGAAGAGGAGGAAGGTTAAGTGAACAGTGCTTTTTTTCAGTTGTTATTGAAAGAAGTAACAGTACAATTTCTGAGGTGAAATAAACTACAGACGATCAGTAACTCCCACTCGCCTGCTCGTATACTCCCACTCGCCTGCTCGTATACTCCCACTCGCCTGCTCGTATACTCCCACTCGCCTGCTCGTATACTCCCACTCGCCTGCTCATATACTCCCACTCACCTGCTCATATACTCCCACTCACCTGCTCATATACTCCCACTCACCTGCTAATATACTCCCACTCGCCTGCTAATATACTCCCACTCGCCTGCTCACATACTCCCACTCGCCTGCTCATATACTCCCACTCGCCTGCTCATATACTCCCACTCGCCTGCTCATATGCTCCCACTCACCTCCTCATATACCCACTCACCTCCTCATATGCTCCCACTCACCTCCTCATATGCTCCCACTCACCTGCTCATGTAGAAGTTATCATAGCTCATGCAGGCGCCGCCCTTGCCACAGGTGGACTGCCACAAGATGCAGGTGTTGTCTATGAGGGCCCCAAAGAGGATTGGCCCAGGTATGGTGCCCAAGAGGCGGACCACAATCCACTGTAGACCCAGGGCGAAGGATCGATGAGTGTCCGGCACACACCTGTAACAACACACCGTTACAACCTCCCGAGTTAACACATCCCTAACATTGTTATATACCTTCCTAACACACCATAACACTGCTTTAAATCTTCCTGACACAACATAACACTTCATAACACTCCTCGTTGAGAACATAATGGTGTTGACTTAATATGTAAAGTAATAACAATAATAGCGGTAATTATAATGGCAGAATAGTTTTGTATATGAGTTCCATCAAAAATAATCACATGAAAGTTTACGTACAGTGATTCTACTCAACATATGTTAATATTATGCAAATTAAAGAATGAAACTGCATATTTTTACAATTTTACATATTAATCATTGCGTATTAAGAATTTCTAAGCAAATAATTTATCTGTAAGAGAACTTATTTTTACTACACAAAAAGTTCTTCGGGGTGTATCATCATTTATCACTTACAAACTTAGAAATAAATACAAGGCTACATGGTGGTGAACACTACAGGAACACCCTTAAGTTGTTGCGTTCATCTATAAAGGTTAGGTTAGCTCTGAGTGACAGGTGTGCACGGTGGCTGTTGAAGCGTCATGCATGGTGATGGGTGTTGCTTCTTACTGTACACATGACACTAGTTGTACTACAGAGTGGTGACCGAATAACACTAAGAAGTAAAGAAGCAAATAAGTGAATAAATAAATACATTAGATACAAAATAACTCCAGTATTTTTAAAGGTAATGACTCACCTGAGATGAATAATACCACATTCAATCGAGCGGTTAATGTACTGACTAATACCTGATCACTGACGCCATGAATTCGTGTAGTTAATGTGATGTGAACTAAACTGTGTTAGTCACACCTTAACCAGGCATTGACTCGTGGTGTTTAGATTATGTATCACAATGACATTCAAGGATGAGGTGTGTCCAGTGATCGTCAGGGAGTGCTTAGCTCAGTTGGATAGGAAAATATTATCGTGTGGATTTTATCTGAATGTGTGTGAGTGTAGCTTGACACCGTGATGCAACAATTGTGAATATTATAATGTGGATTTATATATAAGGTGTGGGTTACTGTGAGCAGCTTACCGTGGGTTTATATATAAGGTGTGGGTTAATGTTAGCAGCTTACCGTGGGTTTATATATAAGGTGTGGGTTAATGTTAGCAGCTTACCGTGGGTTTATATATAAGGTGTGGGTTAATGTGAGCAGCTTACCGTGGGTTTATATATAAGGTGTGGGTTAATGTGAGCAGCTTACCGTAACGTTCCAGTGAGCGCAGGTAAACTTATGATAAACGTGAGAATCATCACGACGAAGAATATGACTAGGAAGATGGGCATGAAGGAGCAGGGTGCTGGGCATTTCCCCCGGAGGGCCGAGTCCCTGGCGAGGCGCGCGTCGCCCATCCCAGGGCTGATGGATGGAGTTGGTGTGTGGGCGGGGGAGGCCAGTCTCAACACACACTCACACTTCGTAAATACCTGGGGACAGACACAAACACCTACACAAAAACGAAAATTAAGCACCACTAGTGTGGACTAACTGCACTAGGCTTTATTACTAGTTTAGAGAGGAAAACATCAGAACAAGCTGTGTGGGCCACTGTCTTGGCGGCCAATGTTTCACTGACGTGTTACTGTAGCTAAGAAGCAGAAATTGATGCTGTTCTAAACTTAATGGCAGCTTTATGCGGCTATATACATAAAGTTTTTAAAAGGTTTAAATGTAAGTAAATCGTAAATCATAAAACATACCAGAAAGTATATCATTATAAAAGCTTATTAAATCTAAAAGTTTAACACAACACCAGGTGCGTCTTAGTCAACTCCTGGGTCCTGTGAGGCGCGTGGACTGTAGTTCTTCCCCAGCCACTAACTACAGCACTAGCAAGACCGTCTCTAGCATTTCAGAACCTAACTTGAAATCATTTTGCCAGGGATGGTTGGCAGCTGTCCATACTGTATGTAAACATCTCAAATATATACAAAGTGAAGTATCCATTGATGTGTGAAATTGAAAAGGTCAATTTTCCATCAGCCAGTTATGTCAGGCACAGGTATGAGATCCTCAGTTTGTTTCACCAAGCAAACATTTTCTCTGTAGTATAAATGACCAAGTCAAGTTCTGGATCATGATTCTCAAAGATAAATAAGTCAACTTTTATTTTCATCAATAATTTTCGATGTGGGAACTACTGAAAAAGTTATAGAATAAATGGGAGATTGTTGACTGCTGTTGCGAGTTTTAAAGGCAGACTATCTCGCCACGTTAACAGAGGATGTAGTCAAGATAACATTGTGTTCAGATGATCATGTGACCAAGAAGTGAACAAGATTTTTTAATTCTCAGCCACTGAAATTATGGGAATCTACCCAAAGACTTCTGAGAGTGAAAATAAAAATTAGATGAGAGATCACATCCAGGTAAGGTCTCAATGTAATTTCGAGTCATTTTAGCAGCCATCTTAATGTCGTAGCTTAAGGTAGGCAATGAGATGAGTTCTCATATCGGCAGTCTGATGGAAAGTTGCCGTACGAATCTTTGAGAATCTGAGTAGCGGGTGGCATAGTGAGGTCGGGCTGATAGCGTGAGGTAGGGGAGGAGGCCGGGCTCTACCTGAGTGTGGCCTGTAGGTATGGAATCTTATCCATGATAATCGTGAAGAGGAGGGCAGAGAAGCCGATTATGATGGCTGGGAGGGCGCGGCACCTGGACGGGCAGCTGCTGCCCACGCCTTCGTAGGACACGTTCCTGACACTGTCACTCATCACATCCCACAAACTCGATTTCTCCACCTCCATGCAGGTACACCCACTGTAATGCTGTGCAACCCAATACACTGTACACATCTACTGCTGAACAGCTGTCTACATTATATACACCCACTCTGGTGCAGCTGAGTGTATGGTGCAGCTGCGCTACTCTAGATATGACACTTCCCTCTGATGTTTTTAACCTCTGTATAAGTCACAACATTTTATTACAGTACAGAATGCCTTGACCAGAGCTGTGGCGGAGTGACCAGCTCTGTGCTACCATAGACAATAACGTCCAGTTAACTATGGGGGTCATACCACCAACTGATTGTTCGGTAATCCAGGTCTTTACCGAGAGACAAGATTTTTCCTGGACACTTGTAGCTACTCCCAGCAAGACGGACATAAGGACAGATCTAAGAAAAAGCTACTTGAGGTGACAAGAGCTGAGACTGCGGTACCTTGAGCCCATCTTGGCCTTTCTCCATGCCGGTACAGCCGGCGTGGCACGGGGAGAAGTACGTGACGTTGTTGGTGCCACAGATGGGGTCGTACGCCATGTCTCGACACCCACATTTACTGTTGCAATCCGATGTCAGGTTGGGTATGCTCGGCGTCAGTGATCTGATGGACATATACAAGGTTAGTTAATGTGTTCACCGACCTTAGTGATGTATACTTGCTGTATTCACGTTTTATATTCATGTATTCATTGACACACATATTATAATTATGCCTTTAAAAAGTTTGTGGCAAACTTACGTGTTGCTGTATTCGACATTGACCCCTGCGAAGTCGATATTGGGACAGGAGATGACGAAGGTGAAGCAGGAGAGGAGGCAGAAGAGGGAGAACACGATACACATCTTGAGGATTCCAGAACATCTCAGCTGGAGCTTCTTCACCAACCACCCCCCAATAAAGGTGCCGCCCCCTCCAGCCGGCACCACCACAAACCCTGTCAACACATGTAAACAACATCTGGTGCCAAAACTTCTGCCATCATATCAACAAACATCAGGTGATCCATGTTAACACATTAACACCCATCAGCTAACATCATGAACTCATAACACACGAACAAAAAAAAAGCTGATAAACTTAACTCAAGCATCCACTGTTTAGTGATATGATAATCCTCTAGGTGAGAAAGCCGTGACAGAGCTTCTGCCTGGCCACAAAATAAATACAAACAATGGGCATCATTTCGGATAAAAGTCAGCTAAATTTTAATAGAACCACATGACCGGTAGAAATATAAACACGGGGTCGACTCCGTGCATGACTCACCTACGATCAAGGCAGCATAACTGGCCGGGATGCTGAATTGGTTTTCTATAAACTTAGGCATAAAGGTGGCGAATCCTGTGAGGAGGATGCCCTCGGTGGCCCCCGCCAAGGAGAGCGCCACGAAGGTTGGGTTATACGCCAACACCTTCACCGCCTCCGGCAGGTCCTTCAGTCGACCGAATCCACTTGACCTGCTTACCGACGACACCCCCGACCCGTAGGCCTCCGACACTCTCTCTGCCTTGATGGCCTTGGCTCCTGCAGACACACAACGGCATCACACAACTTTGTTCAGTTGTTGTTAATGAGTAGATGAATCATTCGAGGTAAGTGCCCTCTGGAGCCGTTTTAAAATACTTAAGCACAACTGTCAATAATTTTAAAAATAAATTCAAACACAACAATAAATTAATTTTTTGTTCTGATAAGTAAAAACATAATTTTTAAACGAATTACAGGTATTTTAAATACATGTCAAGAAATAAATGACTCCTGTACAATTGTGTTACGTACCATCGGATTTCTCTGGTCGTTCACTCAATACCATACATATAATATAAACCGACGAGTTAGAATATGGTTTAAGCAAATGTAGCCACAATTGTCTCGCCTGAGATTTATCGACGATCTGATCTAATAACAAACTTAAAAGTGTTACAGCCAAGACATTTACTGTCATAAAAGCCATGCCTCTCCCTGTACGGGAAGCCAAATTAAGTATATCAGTAAATGCTTCAACAATTCTATAAGGAGGGACTAACCAGGCAGGTGGGAGGGGAAGGCCATGACAGGCCAGGAGATAAGGACAGAGATGGTACCAGACACCAGGAAGCCTATCCACCACCCGCCCAGCCACAGGTCACTGTTCACACGGAGACCAAATCTGAAGAAAAGAATACATATAATGAACACATTTCATGATTTAGGTAATGACTTCAGCTCTGTTCTCATCAGTGTGTTTCAATACTACATCTCTAACAACATAGTCTTCCCTCATAATGTGGCGGACACAAGTGGAGTCTTCCCTTACTACATCATCCACATAGTTTTAGTCTCAACACTGTATCAACACGTGCAACAGACGGTCAGCAATTCTACACTCTGATCTATCATACAAGTAAAATACCTCGCATGTATCAACTGTGTAAATGGGACACAAGTTAACAGAAGCAAAGGGGAAAGTAGAATAGATGAAACAAGACCAAGGTCCACGTGAAGACAACATACAAGTATAAACAACGGGAAAATAATATCTTCTGAAAGGATATTGAGAAGCTTGAGTTAACATGACAGAACATTAATGAGGGGAGTTTGTAACCACAGAAGAAAATATAAACCTCTTTTCTTTCTCGACTTTTATTTTAGAGCTGCCAGTTGTTTAATATTTCCTCATATGAACCCAAAAACAAATAACTAATCCGAAAGGAAATAATTGTAGAAGAAACTGCACTCAGCTACCTGAAGACGGAGCACAATAAACACACCATAACACGTACTTGGCGGGGTCGACGGAGGGCGAGTCAATATACACATTGAGAAACTGTCCCCCCAAGAGGTAGCCTAGCGCCGGCCCCAGCACCGCCATCGCGTAGAAGATACCTGGGTACACAACATACCTGAGTTAATTACTGTGTTTATACCTGTAGAAATCATATTACCTCTCTCTTAGTGTGTTTGGTCTTCTTCCTCGTATGTTCCTCGTCTTGCACAACACCCTACACTCCTCCCGGTTGGCACTCCCCTTACTCTCATTCTCCCTCACTCACACCTCTCCTCACTCACACCTTCCCTCACTCACATCTTCCATCACTCACGCCTTCCCTCACTCACGTCTCCCCTCACTCACACCTTCCCTCACTCACACCTTCCCTCACTCACACCTTCCCTCACTCACACCTTCCCTCACTCACACCTTCCCTCACTCACACCTTCCCTCACTCACACCTCTCCTCACTCACACCTTCCCTCACTCACACCTTCCCTCACTCACACCTTCCCTCACTCACACCTTCCCTCACTTGTACACAGTATTATCTACCCCGCAGCAGTAACTCATTACAACTCTTGTATAATATGAGTAAATGTGTCACTACCAACTTGTTACATAAAAAATAAATACTTTCCTGTAAGAGAAAGAATTAATAAAGTATTATACATAAGAGTGTATTACTGACACTTGTGGGACAGTGACACATCGTTACCCTTTGTGTTGTATTGATGTAGTTAAACACCTCGGTCCCATAAGTAAGTTTATAGCAACAATTATCCACTTACTCCAGAAGAGATTTTCAGACAAGCATTCTATTGAAACCTTCGTCAGGTGATCTCACACAGGGGCGCCTCACTCACCGAGATACATGGATGACATCTTGGTGGGCACAGACTCGTCGAGGTAGGTGACTCCCAGGGTGTACAGGGGCGTGGCGCCAACACCGTGCAGGAACTGACCCAACACGAAGATGTGGCGGAAGGAGGAGAGCCAGTTCGCTACCGCCACCCCACAGTGTGTCTCCCGCGTGCCCTGGTGGAGGAGGTACAATGTTTTGAAATTATCAGCATACTTTCAAATCTTGCTTAACAATCCTGGGGTGATTTTGGCTTTGTTTTAGTTAGGGTTAAGTTTAATTGTGTGGTCTCCTCTAATAACCTCCTGGAAGTGTTTTAACCCGAGTAAGTGTTCACCCTGGCCTAGAACTTACCTCACGCAGGCAGTAGAGGATGGCGGATGTGTCGCTCCTGCTGGGGCTGTAGGGTGGGGAGCCGAAGTGAGGCAGGTAGAAGACGAAGGAGCCCAGTCCCATAATAAACACACCCCAGCCCAGCCAGCGGGGCTTGGAGCTGCCAGGCCGTGACCCCAGGTAAGACACAGGTACTGAGCACAACACTGACGCCATGTCGTACGCCCCGGCTATCAGACCTGACAGTAACATAACATCCGTCAGTATTATAACTTATCAACAATAATCAAACTCTAGATACAACTGTTGTACAAACTCTGAAGTTACCAACACAAGTTTTAACTCATGTAATTTTAATATTTACATAATTCCTTGATTAAATATTTCGATTATAAATCTCAAAAGTTAACAGAATTCTTTAATAGATATGAACTGTTGCCAAAGTAAGTAATTTTCATAATACTTTATATATTAATTAACTCTCAGTAACATACATCAGTTTAAGTGAACTAAGTGAGGAATGCTTCATGATACACAAGCTGAAGGTCAGTTTCCTCACCTGAGTCAGTTGAGCGCAGGTCGAATCTCTTCTCTATGGTGGTGATACACACGTTAACGAACCCGTTCACAACCATACCTGAGGGGGTGAGGGAGTCCTTCGTTATGTAGGCATAAATAGTACAGTAGAAGGTTCGGGAGGAAGTGAAATTAACCAAAAATATATTGGTAGACCTGCACTGCATATGTATACATTGTATATCTATACTGCCAATGAACATGCTGACCCAATATGAACTTGTATAACGATTTTACTGAATAAATATTTATCTTTCTAAGGTAGAGGTCAGGGAGGTTACTCACCCTGAGCAGCGGCCGCCCAACACAGCCAGAAGAGGACCCACTTGGCTGTGCGGGTTTTCTGTAACTTCTGTGGGCGGAGGCACATCCATCCGCACTCTCCACCATTCTCTTCATCGTCCTCCAACACCAAGTCCGCCCGTGATGATGAGACGCCCACCACGCCCACGTTCGCATCAGGGTCGCTACTCGTCGAGCTCTGAAGGACGGGGAGCAAAGTTATCACTGTTCTCAAGGATGAAGCAAGGACCAGTAGGGGAGAAAAAATAATAAATATATATATACATATATATATATATATATATATACATATATATATATATATACATATATATATATATATATATATATATATATATATATATATATATATATATATATATATATACATAAATACTGTAGGTGCGTGATCTAGGTATATGCTGATAACCACAAGGATACGAAGTATAATTCACATCTTCAGGGTGAGTATATATATATATATATATATATAATGAGAAAAAGAGGGAGAGATCTAGAGGAGTAAATTAGATAAAAATAAATTATCAATATTGCATAAAACAAAAGAAAACGATAATGTGACAAACAGGTAAAGTGAAAGCAATGAACTAAGCAATACTAGTTAGTACATCTTTCACTCTTGTCAGTGTCTCTCTTGTAGACATTTTCAACCTATGCCGAAATAGTATTGCCATTAATTTTCGTGTACATTTTGAAAATGATCAGAAATAATAAACAGGTTATAATACATTTATTGACTTTTTATGTTGTAAGTTCCTTCCGCTGATGTAAGATTAATATTGTATAGTTTGGAATGTTGTGAGGGAGGATGAACGTGACAGCAGACACACAGTGTGTCTACACTTGTGTGCTACAATTAATTAAGAAGGTGGTGGTGATAAAATTACATTTATTGACTCCTGAAAATCTTAGGACTCGTTTCGCTACCTTGATGACCTTGCTGGGTGTGTTCAAGAAGCCGTCGAGCGACCGAGTGTCGACAGAGGGCATCCCGGAGGGACCCACTGCATTGGAAACAAAGCCATTGAGGAGGAGGGCGGCGGGATTGGGGGCCAGCATCTGCCTCATGCGGGATGACCTCATTATCGTTAAGGGCCGCTCTGAGGGCTCCTTGGCGGTCCAGTCGTTAGCTGGCGGATGGATGACAGACCCTGAGCTGGGCAGCGTGATGAAGGTAGGACTCATCCTCTCCTCGTACATGTGTGACATCAGGTCCTCCTGTTGCTCTTGTTTACTGCTATGGTACGGAGAACTTTTGCTGGGTGTTGGGCCGAGGCCGTTGTGACTGATGACGAAGAGGTTCCTTGCCATATTCTGGTAAGGCGGGGTGGAGGGCATGGCAATGTCGGCTGCCTCAGAGTTGGGGCTGCTGCAGCTAGTCACGAACAAACTGAGGCCACTCAGGGAACTCGTAGGGGAGAATAAGGCGATGTTTACACCCGAGTTGATGCTGGATTTTGTCGCCTCATTCGCGATGCTGTGGTTTATAGAATTCGAAAGAGGCCGTAGTGGGGTTGGGTGTGTCTGGGCGGTGACGGGAAGACGCTGGTCAAGTACTTGTGTGGGGTGGAATTTACCAGGTGACTGGAAAAGGGGTTCGACCAAGGCACCACTCGTGGGCTCAACACCCTTTCCCTGGTCCTCATCAATAGACTCTAGAGACAAGTACATATTTGCTTTCACTTGGCAGCGACTTGTTGTGAACGTCGGCATCTGTCACATAACATCAACATTACACATGTTTCTCAAGTTGCAACATTCTCACATGAACTATCGAGAGACCAATACAGTCCACAGCCTCAGTGAGAGTTTCAGAGTCAACCGCAACTTCCATTTCAGTTAATCGTTTAAAAATCTCGTCGAGATTAATACTATTCGTCCCTGTAATGAAGCTCCTCCAGGTAGCAATAGTTCTTTAGGTTTAATATCAACAAAAAAACGCAGCTAAGTTTCCCATGAAGGCAGGAGTCGGTCATGAAGCTGCAAGATAATCGAAGGTGCTGGGAGAGCGTAGCCAAGCAACCAAGGTTCTCTGGCGGCCACCCCAGCAACTGTGTGTGTGTGTGTGTGTGTGTGTGTGTGCGCGCCTCCTCCCCCAGGTATCTGTTAACACACCCCCTCACTCCCAGTATCGCTAACCACTGTTTTATGCTATTCATCTCTGGCAGTATCACATTTTCACCACTTAATTGCCACTTAATAATGCAGTATCATTAGCAGTACTATTAAACTTTGACTTAATAGTTATCAAAGCAGTTTAACCGCGTTACCACTAATATCAGTAGTACCAGTAACACTTATTACCACTTAATTACCACTAATATCATAATTTAGTATCAGTATCACTAATTACTTAATTACCACTTGTTGTCATATCTTTGGAGCGCGGCGGTCGAGTGGATACAGCACTTATCTCCTGTTCCACGTGTCAGTGGTTCGATTACCAGGAACTCTCAGTTCACCCAGCTGTAACTGGTTACCAAAGTTTTTACTACTTGTGGAAGTGAAGGCGGTCGAGAGCAGTACCGGCCATGCTGCCTCCTTGTGTACCGAAGGCTTAGTATACAGTGTGCTGTATCCACACTGTCCTTAACGGGCAGGCATATGTATGGGACACACTTTCACTTTTTTCATCATATTACCACAAGTATCACTTATTACCACTTAATTAACTCACACTTATTATCGCATATCATCACCAGTAACACTTAATACCACTTAACTATCATTATATCAGTGTTACATATTACCACTTACAATCAACATAACCGTATCACCACTTAACTATCACTGTAAAGTCACTACTAATATATGCAAGTTGCTAACTCTGATATGGCAGTATGTGTCTTGTATGAGGGCGTGTGTGGCGTGTATGAGGGCGTGTGTGGCGTGTATGAGGGCGTGTGTGGCGTGTATGAGGGCGTGTGTGGCGTGTAAGGGGCCTCGCTCTCAAGTGAGGGTGGAGGCAAGAGGAGGACCGCCTTCCTACAGTACACTATAAGTATTTAATAAGGTAAATGTCACGCCGTTCACTCTTGCCACAGCCAACAGTGTCGATCCCTACAGGCGGCCGTCCAGTGAGGAGAGACAAGGGGAGAGATAGAGATAAGAAAGAGAGAAGAGAGAGATAAGAAAAAGAGAAGAGATAGAGATTAGAAGAGGAGAAAGATAAAAAAAGAGATAAGAAAGGGAGAAAAGGGAAATAGAGATAAGAAAGAAGAGAAAGGGATGACGATAAAAATGATTGGAGAGAGAGAGAGAGAGAGAGAGAGAGAGAGAGAGAGAGATTGATTTTCTTACTTGTGACTGAATTATTAATGTCACTACCAAGAACTATGTTAATCTTTCCACCAAGAGTCGGTCAACCTGGCTCTGGGAATATCAGGATCAAATATTCTGACAACACAGGCGAAGATATTCAATCCCCCACCCGTTGTCTCACACCCACGCTAAAATTCAAGTGTAACATCATATATTAACCTCCATTCATATAAGACTCACTGATACACACACACACAACAACGGGTCATTTTCCTTACCACTTTTTTTTCTTCACAAACAAGAACCTTCTAACAGTGTTCTCGTCCACTTCATTTTTTACTTAAGAATAAAAAAAAAAAGTTGGAAAATTGAGGAGGTTTTTCTAGGAGGTGAGATATTTTCTTTCTGGAGGCATAGTTTTTGTCGATTGTGAAAAATGTGAGAAGGTAAAGAACTCCAAAGTTTAGCCGTGTGTAGAGAGAGGTATAACCTAACAAAAACCCATCGTGGAGTTACTTTATCAACCCTGACCCACACAATACACGATAGTCACCCACAATTCACCTTAGAGCCATACACAACATATCATAGAGCCCCCACACAACACATCATAGAGCCCCCACACAACACATCATAGAGCCACACACAACACATCATAGAGCCCCACACAACACATCATAGAGCCACACACACACCATAGAGCCACACACCCCATAGCCACACACACATCATAGAGCCACACAACACATCATAGAGCCACACACCCCACATCATAGAGCCACACACAACACATCATAGAGCCACACACAATACATCATAGAGCCACACACCCCACACAACACATCATAGAGCCACACACAACACATCATAGAGCCACACACAACACATCATAGAGCCACACACACACACATCATAGAGCCACACACAACACATCATAGAGCCACACACCCCACACAACACATCATAGAGCCACACACCCCACACAACACATGAAAGCAACCCCCTCATCATTCACTGCTTGCCTTGGGACGCGTGATCACTGCACATAAATATTATGCCTCGTACATTTTTCACAAGGTGTTACTTATTACAGAGATGTTATTGCCTCCCTCCTCTCGGGAATAACATTGTTGAGTTTTGAATTTGTGAGTTTAGCTGTGTGTCTGTTTGGTTGTTTGCTTCATGAATGATATGGAAAGATTAGATATGTTTTAATATTGTTTACGTGGAATAAATAAAGTTACAATCAGTTCCCTCAGCCTTCCAAGCGTCAATAGTTTGATTAAGTAAACAAACAACGGTACTGAAACCTGTTGAGTCTCTCTTGGCATTAATTTTGTATCCGTTTCAGTCGTCGCTGAGTAAGATCGTGGATTAAAAGAGATAAATTCAACACCAAAACTGGATGAATTGGAAAAAAAAATAGTAATGAATCTTCTGTATTGTAGAAGTTATTGTTAATCTCCTCCTCCAGGTAGAGATATTTCCCCAAGGTGAACTGCTGTTAATACCCGACTTACCTCCCCAGGGATGGCCTTCACAAGTGGCGCCGTTAACGCACCACGTAACATACCCAACAGGCTGTCTCGCTCGGCTACCAAATTACTTCTTAATAGCTCTCATTAAATTTATGATGACCGTCGAATGTCAAAATTACTTCATGCATGACTGTAAAATACCTGTGTAAGGGTGTCTTTGTGACCCTGTTGTTGTTGTTGTGAGTGAGGGGTGTGGTCATGTATCGTGGAGGGGGGGGGAGGGGGGTACTGGGACAAGAGCATACAATATCTACACAGGTCGCCTCACTAAGAAAGATTAAAACAAACAAGCAAACCAAAAAACAAACTGACCCAAAATCTCAATGATAAGTTCCCCTGACGGATCGAGAACTTGAAAAATACATAAACGATATAAAACTTTAACAGCACCAAAGTTTTACACAACGAGGTAAATGAAACTTACTGACTTGTTAAATTATACGCAGCTTGACTATAACTTTTAAGGCCTCATATAATTCTACATTAATCTCTCTATTTTTACTGTAGCTTTAATAATAATAATCCTGACGCCATAAATTAACTTACGTGTGACAGCTTAAAATATTGATATGTACAGTACTTTTGCCTGAATATATAAACACTAATAGTTTTAGAAGGAAGAGGAGGGAGGGTAGGTAGGGTCGGCCAGTGGAAGGTTTGCCCTCCCAATGCGTGTGTGGCTCTTCCTATGACGGCGATCACGCCATGGTGTGCAAGAAAGGGGGCTTCATATGCATGAGGCATGACGAAGTAAGGGATCTCAGAGCAAATATGTTGAAGTAAATCTGCCGGGATGTCATGGTAGAACCGACCCTCCTTCCATTGGACGGTGAGAATTTCCAACATAGGACATCAAACACATCTAACGAAGCCCGTGTGGACGTCAGTGCTCGAGGATTCTGGACGCGGGGACAGCGAGCTTTCTTCGACATCAGGATTTTTTATCCCATGGCCGCATGTCACCGTAACCTAGCTCTCGATGCTGCACATAGGAGGAACGAGAACGACAAGATAAGGGCATATGGGGAGAGAATCCAAAACGTTGATCAAGGCAGCTTCACTCCTCTAGTGTTCACAACCTCTGGTGGGATGGGACCAAGTGCAAGATGTTTCTACGCCAGACTCGCGGAGGTGATCTCCGAACAGAAGCAGCAGCCCAGAAGTTTTGTTACAGCCTGGATGAGATGTCGACTGTCTTTCTCTCTCCTTCGGTCGGCTTTGCTCTGCCTCAGGGGAACGAGAGCTTCTGCCCCAATTCCGACAACTGCTGCAGATATTGACTATGAGGCTACAGTCACTGAATGCCGCATAGATCTGCGGCTCAACTAATTTAACACAGATAGGATAGCTACTTATGTATTAGGATATTTAATATTAAGGTAATTAAATGGTGGCGAAGGTGTGGCTATTGGGGGAGGCTGGAGGCCAAAAAAAAAAAAAAAAAAAACTTGTTGTAGTAATAGTAAACATAGTGGTAGGGACAATAGTGATGACTATGATAGTAATAATAGTAAGGGTAATGGGATTAGTTAGTAATAGTAGGAAAGGTAGCAGTAAAAGTGGTCAGTATTTAGTAGTAGTAGTAGTAACAATCAGTAGGGTCAAAATAAGACTTAACTTCATGCAGAGTTATCAAGCTTCATGCGTCACAAGGCCACTAATGATTCACCAAGTACACAATGTTTTTATAAGTCTAGCCTGTCAACTCGTACGTGTAGAAAGCTCTGTTTGCTGTCTTAACCCGAGCCTGCAACCTTCTACACTTCTCTTATACCATTATCATCTCTCCTCCTTTGACTTTCATGACCTAGCGATATTTTTAGTAGTGAAGACAATAGATTATAGTAATAGAGGTGGTCACACACATCACCCCTGCAGCTCACACTTCAGACATTCCACAACACGCTGTTATGGCAGAGTTCACAGACGGACGCTCGTGTGTGTGTGTGTGTGTGTGTGTGCTCGTGTTCATTTAATATTTTAGCGTCTCGATGCGTACTGTATGTACCCCAACCTGACGTGAATTGGGTGTGACTCATACTGGTATTGTGGGGTCCAGAGATGAGCCCACCCCCTTCCTACCCACACCCACCCACCCACCCACACCCCCCACATACCACTACCTGGCTCTCATCCCGTCCTCTCTTCCTTTGTTTCTCTTATTCCTCATCTTACCCACATCTTGTACGCTTCCCTGTTCCACGTTTTACCCCCAACCTTCCCTTCCTTCTAAACTTTTCCATTTCCTCCCCTAA